AAATGGATGTCCTAACCGAAATCTCGATAAAGCTGATTTTTCTTTTAAAAAGAAAGGAAAGCCGTGTGTCGCTTTTGGTTGTCCAAATACATTTTATGGCCTCAATGGTTTGCCTGTAAGCACGTATTTTTGCTAAGTATTTATCGTTCTATACTTATTTTATTCTCTGATTATTTTTCTGAAATTGTCTTTATTGAATTTTAACTTACATGCAATAGAGCAATACTAACATAATACTTACGTGAATTTGACAAGTGTGAAGACTATATGGATAAAGCACTCGTTATCAGAATAGAAATTGGCGACAGAGATGGAGATGGAGAAGTAATAAGCTACGGAAACCTAGGATCATTTTTCCTATGGCTTGGTCAATATGACAAGGCCTGAGACTATAAAGAGAAAGAACTCGCTATCAAGATACAAATTGGCGACAGAAATGGAGAAGCTTCATGAAACGGATACCTACGAACATTGTTCCATTTGATTGTTCAATACGACTAGGTCTAGAGTAGCTGGAGAAAACACTCGCCATCAGAATAGGAGTGAGCAACAAAGATGAAGAAGCAACAAGCAAGGAAACTTAACAGCGGTTTTCTTGTCGCTTGTTCAATTTGGCAAGGCCGGAGACTGTAAGGAGAAAGAGCTTGCTCTCAAGATAGAAATTGGCGACAGAAGTGGAGAAGCTTCGTGCTACGGATACATAGGATCATTTTTCCCAAGGCTTGTTCAATATGGCAAGGCTCGAGAGTATCAGGAGAAAGAACCCGCGATCAAGATCGAAATTGGCGACAGAAGTGGAGAAGCAACAAGCTACGGAAACTTAGGAACATTTCTTTCACTCGCTTGGACAATATGACAAGGCCCGTGTGTATTATTAGGAGAAAGTACTCGCCATCAGCATAGAAATTGGCGACAGAGATAGAGAAGCTTCATGCTTCGGATATTTAAGAACATTGTTCCGATTCGTTGGTCAACATGACAATGCCCGCGAGCATTTGAAGAAAGCACTCGCTACCGAAATTGAAATTGGCGACAGAGATGGAGAAGCAACAAGCTACGGAAACCTAGGAGTGTTGTTCCTACCACTTGGTCAATATGACAAAACCCGAGAGGGAGAGGTAGTCAAAACGTTGACTTATCCAAGATCATGGTATTGCACAGAAAAAAATAATTAATGGTAGTTTGTTTTACTGATGAAAAGCCCCTTTGAAAACCATCTAATACTGTCTAATGCACTCTCTCACTAAAGATGAATCCCACAAGGACGGATGGACACTTCCCAAACACGCGCTTTACAACTTCCTTCTTTTTATCGTGTGCCCAGTTTCATTTTGTGTCTCGGGGTAAAGACTGGTGTTTCTGATTTGACAGAACGTAAAAGTGTGTAAGTTATGTACAATATGTCGTCATTTGAAGAACCTAAACTTTTTCAAATTCTTGATTTTGCTGAGTTTGCCGTTCTCCTGACATTACGTTTGTAAGATATCAGTTTGATTGATTTGATTTGCGATTTTCTCGCCTATGAACACAGTCATATTAATGTTAAATGGGCTGTTGACATTCACTCGGCGTCACTGGTTGTGCTTCAATTCGCTCGGTTATTGGTCCAGAAAAATCGCGTCATCGTTTTCACAATCACGGTTTAGTCATTCGTGTTTTACCGCGCTTAACGCGTTTACACTGCTCATTGGCTTCTCGTGGTATTTGCCTTTTTTCAGACTCGCCGACGTAATTTTGGTTATGCGATGATAGATTGCAAACCTCTCTGTTCCATTCAAGTGAAAGAAAGTAGAAGCCTTCTGTTTCCCGTAGTTCTTTTGTTCCAAGGCGATTGTTTTCGCTCTTGCTCGAAGCACTCTTTGTATTACTGTGGACTAGTTCTATGATCACGTAACTTACGTAGCTTTTCTTGATGGCATTTCCTACAACACTCCTCTGTTTGTTCATCACATCCTTTTTTGCTCTCCACGTTTGATGAAACATTTTCCGGCCACAGGTAGCTTTTCTGTGTGCAAATTCTTTTTTCTTCTGCTAACCGGTATTTGTCTGTTCCGCTCATTATTCATAATCCATGGTTGCAAACTAGCGTTTGCGTAAAAATCCATTGGGTAATTTTCGTGCCATTCGATTCGTTAAATCACAACTTAAGCACAACGTAAATTCAACGAAAAAAATCCAATGAGAACAGTTTTCAACTGCCTGACAAAAGCAAACCACTATACCACTGGTTTTCAGGTTTTTCACACTATGATGAGTCTAGATACCTACGCCACTCTCTCACCCAATCGGAAAAAAAACTCAAACGAATCGAGACTTGGTCACTCATTCGCATCACAACTACCAATCAGAACAAAGGTTACATCATCATTAACCAATGAGAACTCAAGGTAAAAACAGGCAACCTGCTTGAAAAAAAAAAAAATTCGTGTGATTGCTTCTTCTCTTTCATCATCCTCTGAACAAGAAGAGATCGCGATGACTTGTCTTCAAAATGACTTTTTCTTAGATTTCCCTGAAATCCTGAGGTCAAGAAACCAAGGGCTGATACCCACCCGAAATACCTTCGCGGTTGTCACGTTCGTTTTTTCCGCTATGTACAATATCAAAAAGTCACCGACAGGTTGTTGTACATTTCACGAAATAATTGGTAAGGACATTGTATAATGAGTGGAGTGCAGTGTAACCATTTCCATGTTTGGGCCAATATAGTACAAAGAAGAATAAAATGTTCCTTAGAAAAAAAATGGAATTACATGAAGCCAATGAGATGTTTTATGAATTTATTTTTGAGCATAAATATTTCCCACTTAATTTTAACGACAATGAAAATAATTCCTTGTATTGTAAATAATCAAAACAACTCTTTCACAAAACAGAAAAAATTGTGTTTTCAGTTGGAAAACAAAGAGAGGAATATGAGAACGACTTGTCTCGTTCACGCTGTGTCGCAAGGAGAAACTGTGGTGTCAAAATATAACTTCGTTCTGTTCCTCGGATCTAAGCCGTGCGTTTTTCTTTCGTGAGAGGATAAACGCTCCAGTGTCCTTTTCTAGAGGAAGTAGTCAATGTTTACAAGTGACGTAATTAACTTAACCCCAGAACGAATTCATTTTAAGCGATTTGAAATATAGCATTCTTGTGGATTTTGATTTGATTTTGATTTTTTCATCAATAAATTCAAACTTAGATTTTATATTTCTTGGAATTTTTTTTTGTCGGAAAACTTCAATCTATTAATGACAATAGTGTTTTGGGTCAGTGGCTTAGCTACTTGCACAATTTTTTTTTTCTGGAAATATTTTGTGATCCAAGGTTTTCCATTTTATGCGTATTTTGTCAAGCTGTTTAAATGCAAGAATATTATGGTTAGATTTTTGGGACTTTTGCACTTTATATAATTCTCCAAGTACAATGCAATTTCGTTTACAGCGTAAATTCCGCCACAGGTGTTCGCGTTAGATCTGAGCATTGAGTTAAAGCCTCGACGTAAACCATGTCCTTCACTGTTAGTAACACGTCCTCACGACTAAGAAAGGCTTTGCATCGATGGACAGTGTGTTAACGCGACTATTATAATTTTAGACATTCAGGAGCTACAATGAACAAACTTAAGAATTGATTAACATAATCTGCATTACGTGCTTCAGTAAGCTTCCTTTCAGTAAGATAAACAATCTCGGCAAAATTGTCTACTTAATTTCCTAACCGTTTCATTTTCTCACTGCACCATTCCTAGCCATGAGACGAAAATTATTCTTACAGTGGGGAAACAAGAAACCTTCACGCTTTAAACCCCATAATGGCCATACATGTTGATGTTCTAGTATAATATTATGATAAATAAATGCGCGAAGTTATAAGAAGCGGTGTCTGAACAATTGTTTCATATGCGTACTTTAGACATTCTCTTAGATATAAACCTCAAATATGCGTCTGAAGATTTTGGAACAGATTTTCAAAGCGAGTAATTTGTCGGCGCAATAACTGGATGCTCCCTCGCAGCGCACAATGCCATGAGTTCTTTCCAAGGAATAACGCAAAGGAATTATGATGCAATGACTCGTTAGATAGATAGATAGTTTATTGATAACCGCTTTGCAACCAAAAATTGATTTGTACGATCATTACAAAAAGATAATTTTAATGATTAAATTAGAAGGACTACCAGTAGTTTTTAAACAAGTTTGCATTAATATGTTTGTAAACATGTTGTCTTAGTATATGAAATATGTCGAAGAAATATTTAAGCCTAAAAAACCCACCGCTAGAACAGTCTTCGCAAGGCTATTTGTGCCAGATATCGCGCCTATGATAGGAAGTAAACAAGTTATGTTCAGTCGCCTAAGTGTTGTTTCCTCAACTAGTTCAGGTAGTTACTCGGAGTATTTCAAGTCTCTGCTCAAGTGGTGTCTATACAGATGCCTAAGCAGGGTTTTCCAGGACAGTATCTTGCTGGTTTTCTCTCTGGGTTTTCAATTCAATGAGCTCCCGCCAAGGAATAAAGCATAGGAAGACAGCTGCAATGATTGCTGTTGTTATCATCTGAGCAATAGCACCCAAGTGATTCAAAAAAAAGATGGCTACCGAAGGGATTACTGTTTCAACAACTATAAGCGATATGACAGTACCGAGAAATAGTAATACAACAGAAACTTGCACCCATCGTAGAATCTTTGTTTTTTTTGATCAGCAAAGATTGAAGCAGAGACTTGAAATACTCCGAGTAACTACCTGAACTAGTTGAGGAAACAACACTTAAGCGACTGAACATAACTTGTTTCAAGATTGCACTTGTGCTCACCTTAACGGCCAACATAGACAGCTTGAATGAGCCGTAACTTGCACCTGTGGCCAATCCAAAATTGAAGACGATTTTGTTGCAGATGACCTGTATGGTTCCATTTCGAATCAAATTTTGAACGGCAGCACTGCTACAGTTTAGGGGGTCTTGCGACTTCAAACTCCATTTGCGTTCGAAGCAGTCTTTCGAGAGGTCATCTTCATCGCAGTCGTAACTTACATCCTGGCACAAGCAGCTGCCAAAAAATTGTCAGCACTAAGCCAAACATCACATAAAACAGCATCAAAAATCTGGTTCGGACCTTGGATAATAATTCCTCATCATCTGTCATATCAATGTCTTTAAACAGCCACTTTGTTTCTCTAGGACAACAAGTCTTCCTCTTCTTCTCCTTGAATATATCGGAAAATGCATTTGTGGTAACCCAGCGGCTGACACGATCCAGTGGAATTCTGCAACACAGCATCGCCATCAAAAGGAAAAGGATGGGAGCATAAGTAACGAAAAGAGGTGGCCAAAGGAAAATTTTACCGTACGCGTCTGATTTCATTATTCTATCTTGAGCTGCAAAACTGATGAATTTACATTCAGAGAATTTAAAAACTGTGATGAAGTGATGAAATGTTTATACCTCTCGTTCCGAAAACGAGTTACCTTGAGATGACCTACTTACTCCGTGGGGGAGACTGGTTTGAGGTGACAGTCACCTATTTTTTTTTCCTACCCCTCAGAGATACGCCGAGGTACTGGGGAAGAAGACTGTTTCGGCCCGGCGTCTCACGGAGTTTTGGGGCAGGGAGACAGCTGACATCTCAGAGTACGAAAAGACTGGCTCAGCGATGAATGCAATCCTTACTTTCAAGCCGGTGAAGGGCAAAAGAGTTCACTTCCATGAGCGAATCGCTTAAATGAAAATGCCTTCAAGGTCTAACATTCAAAGCTCGGTCAATGAATAGAACGCCACGGTCGCTGATTTTGTCTTTACCATCAGATCCAAAAATTGGGTAAGGCATTTGAACACAATTTGGCCTTATGGGGGAAGGGAAACTGAACGGACCAATATTCAAAAGTTAAAACTCCAGGAGGAGGGGCTTGGGGAAGGATTTTTTGATCTTTCGGCTGACTTTTTCTTTTTTAATGTTCCTTATAGACCTTCGCTAAAACAATTTTTTTTGTCATTGTGAATAAACCCCTTGGGTTTTTTTTTTTCCAATTTTCTCGCAACAATTTTTCACCTAAGGCAAGCTTACAAAAAGTGGAAAGAAGCTGAAGAAACCTCCTGGAGATTACCTCCAAGACGGCAGTCTCAACCATACAAACGAGTCTGGGAAAATCCCAAAATGAAAAACTCGAAAGAAACAAATATCGAAAGATTTCAAATTTGATTTCATTTTATATGTGTGATATGAACTAGTTTGAACATAATGTGTTCGTGATTAATAATTTTTGACATAAGAAGAACAAAATTTATGAGGGCTGTAAATAAAGCTCTGAAAATTGCATATCTAAATTACGCCTCGGTCTGAATATCTCAATAAAGTTCAATGAAATATTAATAGACTAATCTGTTGTATTTTTCCGTCTTCAGGGGCCGTTTGAAGCGTCTTTTTACGAAATGAAAATCATGAATGTAGTTTTCTCAATATGATCAGTGCCGAACTCAGCGACCAAAGGAATTCGAAGCATGCAGCTCACTGCGGTTCAAAATTAAGCCGAGTGCTGATTGGTAAATTTGAAACGGCCTGCATGCTTTTTACTAGAAACTTTAAACTGTAATCGTAGTTATATACTTATTATATGTTAAGCCGTTAACTATATAACTTTGGATGAAAATTAAAAATGCAGGAATCGCCCTGTTGGTTTTTACTGCGTTAGTCCTTAATCTAAGTCGCTTAATTGCTGTATTTTGATAACCGAGCCGTCGAGCCTCCAACCTTTTAAATTTATGTCAAAATGCACTTAAAACCCATTACAAACTTAAATCAAAAGTTGGCGGCGACAAAAATTCAAGATGGGGGCGACGCAACCATACTTCGGGGCGACGGAAGTTGGGGCGACCGAACAAGCCTATTGCCTTGGTAGGCGATAAATCGCTTACACAGCCGATGCTTACACAGGTGATGGACGGTCTTGAGCACAGTAACCTTTGCACAGTAACCTTCGCTCCAGAGAAGTTAGTGATATGACTAAGTCGCTTTGTTTCCCTCTACCACTCAGACAGGGAACTCTCTTTCAGGTGTTGCACTCTGCGCTTGTAGTAGTTCGATTGAAATTTCTTGCGTACATGAATCCAAGAGCGAAACAGAATGAACTGGTTTTTGGGCTTAGATCCGTACTTCTATTGCTTACATTTAAGTTCAAAAATTAAACTTCGGGCCCACAGAGATGACTGAACATTAAAAAGAGGGCTGTTGTCTTGATAACTAAAGTTAACGAAATATGTTATATGAAACGTTATTGCAGTGCACTGTCCGAAATCACATTTTAAAATCCGATTGACTCGATTAGAAGAAAAAATGTGCATTCATTAGAACAACGAGTGTTTCAGTCTGGTTTAACCAACATCATTGCAATACAGATGTTTTCCTTTTTTTCCACTAACCCAAGCAAAGTGCGTCAACCAACCAAACTGGCCAGTTTTTGAAAGGAATCACGGCATAACGCGGCCTAAAGGGTATGTTGGGAACATGTTATAACCACAAATGTACAACAACCAGAGATTGTCTAGAACAGATCTTGTAAGAATTCAATTTTATTCAGGACACTAAATCTTCAACAACACGTCCGTATTTAGGACGTATTTCTCGTTTATCTATGAAAAGAATTACAGCAGTAGGTTATTTTCATACAGCTTTTTGTGTGTGTGTGTGTGTATCTATAAACACATTTTAAAAATCTCTCCGCTTTCTTGATCCTTTCCAAACTGCAGTGGTGATGTTTCATGATATAAATAGCGCGGCAAGCAAAAAGGTTGTTCATAATGTTAATCTCATAGTTTTACGAAGGGGAATATTTGATGAATTTTTAAGTCACGATAGCAGGGTCTTCCTCAGCCAGGCTTAGAGATGTTTGTTCTGCTTGTTTTCTTTCCTTTCTTAGTTTCCTTTTTATCTTCTTAACCTTAGATCTTTCCCTGTAAGAAACAAGTGTCAGATTTTTTATGATCTATATATTTCAACATAAAAGCTATCTGCTGCGATTTACTACAGCTTGTGCAAACCGCCTCGAAGTCTCAAATAGCTGAATCTTTTCAGCCAGTCTTTCCCATATCAGTTGATTTTTTTTTATTATTTTACTTAGAGTGCTACAACGTATGTCAAGTTAAGATGAAGTTCGTAGCATTGTATATATCTCTGTCAGACTGAAATAATCACCTAATTCTGATATGCCGTGCATTAGTTTCTGCCTAAAAGCTGTCTGGTAATCGTCTCTCAAAGTCTCAAAGTTTTCGAATTCTATTCCTTTGACATTTACATTTTGCAGGTTGGCTTCTTAATTTTTCTTTTTTAATGGTTAATGATTATAGTCAAGGAAACTTTCACATACCCATGGCTGGGTATTTTCCTGTAATTTAGAATAGCAGGGTCTTCTTCAGCCACACTTTTTAATGATTCTCTCCTTTTTCCTTTTCTTCGTTTCTTCTTTCCTTTGGACCTCTCCCTGTGGAAAATGATTTCCATACTCCTCTGAGCCTTATTTTTGTCTGAGAATCTATCTATGATCTCTAATCAACTGCAGCTTGAAGAAGTATACGAACTCTGAGGTTTAGCGGCGTACTTACATTTTTTGTTTTATGCCACTGTCAATAGTTGTAAAAATTGCTATGAGGGAAATGAACATTCCTCTGTATGGAATTATTATACATGTTTTGCTTGCTGTATACTTACTAAATTAATTAATTTAGTTGTATCCCCTCCCCTTGATTGAATCGCACTTACCTTTCACTGGACATGATCTTAAAGGCTTCGACTTCAGGATCTTCTTGCGCCAAACTTAATCTTGACGATTTGATTTGATCTGAACTAAAATCTTCCACAACAGCCGACTCCATGTGTCTCTCTGCTAAGAGAAGCTCTTCCCAAGTAAGGCGGAGCACCTTTATCTCCTTAGCAACTTCTTTGTTGTCCTCACTCCTCTCTTGGACTTCTGCAGTTTCCATTTCTTTCATTTCGGTATCTTGAGAAACTTTCTCGGTAAGATTTTCAACAGAGTGAACCTGTTCGGTAGTGGGTTGAGTCTCTGTTTCATATTCTGTATCGACCTGCTCGGACCACTGGAGATTTCTCGCCACCTCAAACACAGTGATATCCTCCAGAGGAATCTCCCTTGAGACAATATCAGCCCAAGATTCTCCTTCGGTGATGTCCAGCCACTGGTCATGTTCAAGGGCTTCCTCTTCTACTTCTTTAGCTTCAATTTTTGTGATGTTCGCTTCTTGAATGGCTGTTGCCTTTACTTGAATCTTAGGGGAGGTGATGTCTTCCCAAATGTCTTCCTCTACATTCTCATCTTCATCAGTAACCATAAACCATTTCACATCCTCAACAATCTCGACCTTAAACTCTTGCACATCATTGATCTCTTCCTCCAACTTGCTGTTGTTAGTTTCATCTGCAAAATAATACAAATCCAATTTTAACCCTAAATTTTCTTATGGTTTGCCGTCGAAATGATCTCACTGAGCCTGATTAATTGTTACTGTAATGACTCATCCTCTAGGAAAATTTGTCTCTCAAGCAGAAATGATCTTTACATACCTTTAATACTTGTTTTCGTCTTCTCGGTCTCTTTTATTTCACCGCTGAAAGGGAAAAATTGTTTTTCATTCACTTCAGCTTCTTTACATTCCCCCCTCTCCTCTCAACTATCCCACGCGCTAACCCTTCCATTTCATCCTCCCATTTTTTCTTCCTCCGCCCCCCACTTCACCACTTGCGGAGTTAAAAACATCAACACTAGAACATCTTATACTTCTTCCGCTTTTTATATTTAAACCTCTACAAGGAAAAGAAGTTAACTGCTTTTCGTTCGCCTTAGTTTGTTTACCAGTCCCTCCCCCCCCTCTCTCTCTCTCTCTCTCTCTCTTTCTTTACCCCTCACTTCCCTTTCCCTCCTTTCCCTTTCCCTCATTTCCCTTTCCTTCCCTTCCCTTTCCCTCCTTTCCCTTTTCTTCCCTTCCCTTTCCCTCCTTTCCCTTTCCTTCCTTCCTTTCCCTCCTTTCCCTTTCCTTCCCTTCCCTTTCCCTCCTTTCCCTTTCCTTCCCTTCCCTTTCCCTCCCTTCCCTTTCCTTCCCTTTCCCCCTTTCCCCTTTCTTTCCCTTCCCTTTCCCTCCTTTCCCTTTCCTTCCCTTCCCTTTCCCTCCTTTCCCTTTCCTTCCCTTCCCTTTCCCTCCTTTCCCTTTCCTTCCCTTCCCTTTCCCTCCTTTCCCTTTCTTTCCCTTCCCTTTCCTTTCCTCTAAATCTTCAAAACCCGCATGAATAATTTACGGAGTGAAGTTTTGCATTTTGTTTTATTCTTACTTCAAGTAACGCAAGTGAACGCATTTCTTTTTTTGAAACATTCAGAAAAGTAAACTAGCTGCAAGGAAATCTTTCTTTGTTTCTGCCATACTGAGCGGAAATAAAAAAGAAGGAATATCTAATGAGCAAAATTGCACTTTTCCCGTTTGTTTCTTTTTAAAAAGAACTAGATTTGTCTCTAAGTTGGATTCTGTTTCATATGCATCTTTTTGTTGGTAAAATATTAAGCATTGTAACTGATGTGGAATTTCAAATCACTTTTGCGAGACACGTTTCGGCGCGCGATCAGCCCGTTGAACAAGAGAAAATGTTTTAAGCTTTTTCCCTGTCGTGACAATTAACAACGTGACAATTTCCACAAGTTTTGAGCCTTACCCTTCTTCGTTATCGCAAAATCCAAAATATGTTAAAGCCTGTAAAGCTTCTATGAAGGCGCGCCAAAATGTTACAAGAGGCATTTTGAGTTTTACTCTCCTTGCGGAAAAATGGATCTCCTCTGGAGAAACGTCACAATCAGACTTTTTTTTATAAGCGCGCGATCGAACGATTATGCGCCAGTGATGGCCATAAGTCGGAAATTACGGAAATTTTAGACTTGTGTGACTATGATTACATACTTTAAGTCAAAAATATTGTTTTCTTCAGTGTTTTTTTCACATAGGGTCAACAACCTGAGTCCAAAGTTGGTAGTTCCACTCTTTTTGAAGCTTCTTGCTTTCTTTTCCAGGCCCTCAGCTAGTGCGCAACTATTTTCTGTGGAAACTACCAGATTAAGTGAAATCCATGGTAACAGATAAAAACAAAAGGAAAAATACGAGCTGAAAAAAGCTCCAAATATTCTTATGATCATGATTTGATGAAATTTGATGAAACATTTATTCCGTTCGCACTTGTTGGATACAAGATTGGTTATTGCCAACTCAGAACTATGCGCTTCGTTGGATATTTACCATCTCACATCAAACGCGCGTTCAAGGAATAATTGTTAAATATACCTTGTAAAGATTGAAATAAATGGAAATAAAGTTCAGGTCTACTTTTTAAAAGAAAAAACTGCGGTTATGGAGATATAACACTTGTTTTAGGAATGAACTAAAAGAAGTCAATAAGGTTTTTCTCATAACGGCGATTTTCTGTTGATGGCTCGCAGAAAGACACAATGAAAGAGAGAGAGAAAAAAAAGACAAGGAATTGGTACTTTCTTCTCTGATGACCGTGTAATTTTTATGCGGATGCAGAGAGTAGTGAGTCAGTAGAATACAGTAGTTATGTCCTCTCCAAAACCTTCCTCCTTCATTGTTCTGCAATAACTGACTGCATGAAAAATCGCTTGAAGACAACTCTTGAAAACAGGCGTGCACTGCTGGCGCAACCGGCTTCTTCATTGCAAGAAGAAAAAAAAATGAAAAAGGGGAAAACCCTTTCCAGGTTAACTGTCCTTAGCAAACTGAAAACATCATTTTGAAGCGATGTCAGCTCTGTCCTTGACCAATCTAAGGTCTGATATCGCGCTTCGTTTTTCCAACTGAAGGCCTGGAACAGGCCACTCTTCTTGAAACATAATAGGCGTGGCACGCGCTCTGTTCCCCGTTTTCCTATTTGACGGCCAAGAAAGAAAAACTAATAACATGAAATGCTTAAATTCAATCGATTTTGTTGTAATTTTAATGAAAAAATCAAAACTCGATATAATTATAAACAGTCGCACAGAATATCAGCTACAGATGCGTACTATATATTTCGTGATTGACATCTCATGCCCCACCTTTGAAGATTAAAAAATAGAACAAAATCTTACTTTAAATTACCCACAATGTAAATTATTTCATTCACTCGATTGCAAACATTGTGATTACATCAAGTTAGACAAGTCATTCTATATATTACTGAGCACGTTTTAACTTGTCACCCAATCATCTGTATTTCTCTGTAAACGATATTTAAAAGTTCCCACTTCGAACAAGATCATCCTCCCCCTACGGAAAAGTGTCTCCGTGGCGGCTAATTCAACAAAAGAATCTTCCACGGGTTTAATATGCCCAGGAGAAAAGGTGAACCAGTAAATCAGGGAAGTTTACTTGCGGTCCAAGCGGGTACATAATTTATCTTTCATTTTCAAACTCTCTTATCCTCGAAGAAGATATCATTAACGCTACGGCAAGGCAAATCTAAATTACGGACAAAATGGGTTCAGGCAAGGCCCGCTAATCTCTCTTTGATGGAACCTGGCCAACCAATTGTTAAAAAACTTTCTTATGTAATATGTAGAAAAGATTCAAGCAGTTAATAAGAAAACACCACCCCTAAATTGAGTATTTCGATCTGCCTTTTGTTAGAATTTTTCTGTCTGTCACCAGTACTTAAAACGGCTAGCTTCAACAAAATTTTCCAAGTTAGCTTTACAACACGGTTTGCTATCGACATGACTTTCTTATTTCTTACTGAAACCAGGCTTAAGTCAAGTTACATATAATTTATTTAGGGCGGTTTTGAGTGAGAGCGCGCGGTTTTCGACTGAACGTCGTAAAACCAAACCCAAAGTGACTTATCACAACATACAGTAGTACAAACGTAGATATCACATTCAAGCAACCAATCAAACATCAAATTAAATAAATGCGAACAGCTTAAACCGCGGGAAAACGGGATGTCTAAGTTGCGACTGGTTTCAGTGGAGACAACTTTCACCATTCCGGTTTGTCACCTCTAATGTAAAACAAGCAACCTTCACACTACACTCAGTAAATGTTTGACTTGAATCCTTACACAAAAACACAATCGCCATTCTTCACCACTAGTTGACTTATCAACAACTCGATATCTGAGTTACGATTATAACTAACATTGGCGGATCGCTTTAACCCTTTAACTTCCAGAAGTGATTATCATAGTACTTCTTCCAAGAATATCCATACAATATCCGGCAAAACGCGTTATGAGAATACTTAAACTTTAGGGATATAAGTTTTTCCTTTGGACTAACATAAAATTCCTCGTAACTTAATCACGAGGAAATGTGTAGCAACTGGTGGGGAGAGTTAACAATCATATCTTGGGAGTTAAAGGGTTAAATCTTACACACAACATTTTTACCTACACTGTATATAACTTCAACCATAGAAATTTTGTGTGGCATAACTAATAAAGAGAAATCAACCTTACAATGTACCTCAAAAGACTTTAGTGCAAGATACTCTGTCTGAAATTTCTTACCCTGTAACAACTGATTTATTGAAAAGTTGAAGGAGAAACAATCCAGAACAATTCAGTTATTAGCAACTTGTATTGTATAAATGATACAAAAGTCCTTATATAACTGTATTACACTGTTTAATATTGTTACCTCATTGATCCGTTACTATAAAATGCAGAATCAAATTTAATTACTCCATCTTGCTAAAATTCTGGTAAATAAAAAACCAAAAATTGTTGACTTGACAACTGATTAAAAATAAGCTGCATGATCTTAAACAATCATATCTAAAACTATTTTATTAAAATACATTTACATAATATTATATCATTTCAACTACTATAAAATTAAGCAAGAGCTGCATCATAACTCTAACTGAAAGGATAAAATAAGAACATTCCAGGACACTGAAAACAGAAAGAGAACTCAGAATTGGATCTCCCTCTCTCTCTCTCTCTCTCTCTCTCTCTTCTCTCTCTCTCTCTCTCTCTCTCTCTCTCTCTCTCTCTCTCTCTCTCTCTCTCTCTCTCTCTCTCTCTCTCTCCTGTAACTCTAAAAATGAATTCATTAATCCTGATTTAAAATATATTATATGCTCAAGAAGGATTAAAGCACAGCACCAAGAACCTGATCCTCAGTGGAACTTGTCTATGCTTTTGGTTGCTGTTGTTTTTTCTCTGAAAAGTGTTGGTAGACAAAATGGAGATAAGTGATCAGACTTTTGGGTTCAGGGACATCAACAGCCATAATGTCTTCCAACTCCAACAAAGGTTCAATGCCCTCCTCACTGATAAGAGCAAACGAAAAAATTTTCAGTCTTGCTAGCCATGTAGCTCATAATAGCTGGAGCTAACGCAGAGAGAATGTAATATGAATACTTCATTTTATTTAGTTTCCCTTGCACTGAAGAAGTAACCCTTAAAATGTTTACCCTAATATGTTTTTATGAAGGAGAAATCAAAATAAGAACTTAAAATCCTGGATTAGTGATAACAAACTATCAAATAACCAGCCCTCCAGGGTGATAAACCTATACACTAACAAGATTTCTACATTCCCCTGAGGAGATGTTACCCCATATGGAGTAAGATTAAAGCTTTACCAATAGGCAACGTTTACAAACTTGCCCAGAGGGGCACTGTCAGAGCAAAGTGTTTTAGTCGCCCAATATCAAAGCAACCTGGCTCAAGATCTTGAAATTTGAAAGCCTTGCCCTGAATAGGCAACATCTACACACCTGCACAGAAGGACACTGTCAGAACAAAGTGTTTTAGTTGCCAAATATCAAAACAACCTGGCACCAGGTGTTCACATTTGACCTCTATATCCCAAGTCTGGTGGAGTAGATTTTAGGCGAGATTATTTCCCATCATGATAACAATCATGTTTAAAAGTTACTGTACTATTATTTTATCACCCTGTACAAACTTTAACCCCTAAGAGTGACTAGCATCTAATTTCTCCTTACAATATCAATCCTGAATCACACACTAAGGTCATGAGAATAAAGGAAATGATCACCAACTAAAGAGGCTCTCGATTGTTAGGCAAATGCTCCTTGTTAGCATTATACATTTCTTAAGGTTTGGCACCTTAAGAAATGTATAGAGAACAGTATGGAGACAATGCATACTAATGATAGGGTGTACAGGGTTAAGATAAATGACCAAAATGTGAAAGTAACACCCTATCTCACTTTGCTTCACATTGTGGGCCTCTGGGTTATTACAACATCAGCTGGATATGACTCTATGAATCCTAAGCTGGTAAAGTACACAGAGACAAACTATTCATTTTGACTTAAAAACTTCACTCACTTTGCGACTCTAAAGGCCATCGTCCAATTCCCCTTTTTGTCTTCAGGATTCAGAGTTTCATATGGAATCTTCTCGGGTAGGAAGTAATTCAACAGGGCACACATATCCAGGCCATTGGCCCAGCTGGTGGTAAAGTTCTGAATGTTGACTCCCTATAACGGCACACAGAAGTGACAATTTCAGGAACTATTGCAATGAGCTATTCCTCAGTAATTCTGTCTGCTGCCTGAAAGGGTACAAATTCATTTGTAAGCATGAATGAGTATGGTGCATGGGCGTTTAAAGTTATAGTGCTCAGCTGCATAGTATTAATTATTTCAACTGATTCTTGACAGAAAAATTTTGTGTTCCTACCGCTCAGTTCAACTGATTCTTGGGTGAAAGCATCAACTAACCTCATGAAACTTAGTTCTGAAACAACACCATTCCTAGAGCTGGTTTACAGCTGTGTTGCCACTAGTGAACTTCCTACCTCTTTCACTGCAATAGTAATATTGATATTAGAGCTAGGTGATATCAGCTAACAAGCCACACAATTCATTGTGTTCTAGCTTATCATAGAAATAACACGAGTTACATTTCAAAACCCGACTTTAAAGCTTTAGCAATAAGCTGCTGGTGTTTTAGACATGATTACATGTGGCAATGCTGAATTTTGGTTCATTATAAGTTTGCAATCCTACAGCTCAGTCCAAATTAACCCTTGAAAATTGGATTTTGGAATTCCTAGGAACTTTTTCCAAGGAATTCCAAGGAATAAGAGGTAATAGTTGGGAATTAGTGGGAATGAGAGGTAATAGTTGGAAATTCCCAGTCCAAATAATTTGGACTGGGAATTCCCAACTGTAACAATTCTGGTTCTAAAATCCTAGAAATTCCCAGAAATTCCAACTGGAGTTTCATTTCTTTTTCTTTTCTTGATAACTTCATACAAATTAATCTTCAATTACAGCTATTCTTATTAAATAGTCCTAATCAATCATTAAATTTGGTTCGACACAAATTGTGAATAAAATCTGTTGATCCTTTTCCATGAAATACAATATCTTTAATTATGTTCATTGCAATAAATACTATCTGTCTAAAAATAGTCTTAAAATGAATCATTTAATGTTGGATGATGATAAAAATGGTATTTAACCCCTCCCATAGACAGGCTTTGACTTGATTTTATGTGGTTGTAACTTATTTGGATAAAACTCTTGTGTGTGAACATTCAAATGTAAGCTGTCAAGCAGCACTTCCATGTTTTACTCTTTGTTTTTGTTGATTCTGGACATTGAAATTCAAAGATTTCTTCTCAGATTTTGACCTAGCACTCTTGGGAGTGAAGGGGTTAATTACAGTTAAATAGAATTGACTTTTTAATTAAAATCTTGTTGTAACAACAGCTTTCCCTGTTGGCTTTGAATGAGGGTGTGTACAAGAAGCTTGTCCATTTTGTATCTGGATTCCATGGCATCTGAATTTGAAAAAAAAAAAAAAACATATATATATATATATATATAGCTCTTTGGCATACAAAGCTTTGCTTTCATGTCCAAATTGAGCACTCTACTAGGATGAGTCATTGCTGCTAGCATTATGCATGCTCACTAGTTTTTCTAGTTTGAGCACTCTGGCATGGCTTAGATGATTCCACATGTGTGAGATCACTGGGGGTGGCTATATAGCCTTACCTCCATCCTAGCATCAGTACTTCGAGTGAAAGCAGTCTATTTCGGGGTCTGATTATTCGGATTTTGAGGCTTCGATGGAAGGCGAACATAATGAAAGGGTTTATGAATCTGTTGGTGAAATCAGGCCCTGGTAATTTGAACCGCCAGGACGGACGTAACCTAAAATAGAGCGCCAAAGTGAGAGGAGGATGCATAGCCTGTGCGCCGCGGCCGCCTCAATCAAGAAAGCGAGAATGGTGAGTGCATTTACGATTATAAATAAAGTACCTGAAAATAAGTCGCTTATTAAATGTAGGAGCGATCAAGTAAAGAAAACCAAATGTGCAGACTCTTGAATACCATGGGGGCGAAGTGTTTTTATGCTACACGCACGCATCTTCCGAAGCTATTAGGTTTCACTAACTATTAATATTAACATACTCGCTTGTGGGGGTGAATTGGATGGATTACACACGTTCACATGCGATTGAATCGAGTTTAATTTTTCCTGTGTTGAATTTGACGAACGATTCAAGATTTCTGGGCTTTTACTTTAAAACACGATGCAGCAAAAAATAGCATTCGTACATGTAGAATTGTAAATAAAGTAAAGTAGCCTAAAGTTTGAATTATCTCTCACGTTTGTGACAGTTGTAAAGCTGATAACTGTTCCTTTTGGTGAAAGCAATCATATAAGTTGTTCTCTCTATTTCTTCTATTCAACATCGTGAAAAAATTGCTACTTTACTGATTTTTTTTTTCATTACAAGGTGTCAGTATGGAAACTGTCAATCAATGTGGAAGGAGGAAGAAAACATCTTTTACCAAGAAGTGGATGTGGTCAAAAATAAAAATTTGGGGGATGTTACAGTGGACAGTTGCAAGCAGAAGCCAAATATATTGTCCAGCATCCAGGGTTTGAGGAAACTGGTGAAGGCTGACTCCGTCTGTTTGTTACAAAACATCACTACACAGCGCCTCCCTGGTTTTCGTTTTCTTTGTTTTAGATCCTGTTGTTTTCCGTCCTTATTGTAAATGTCAACGCGGCGTAGAGTAGTACAGTTTTGGATAACTTGAGCGTGAATATATTTATATAGATATATGAATGTGGGGGTAGAGTCTACCTTGGCATAAAGTGCTCAATGCTGTGGTAGCAGAGCTAAGTATATATAAGTTAAAGAATTAAAGAGGACGCAACGATTCTCTGAGACTTTTATAACTTATGTATATATATATATATATATATATATAAAATTTTTCTTTTTTTTTTTTTTTTTTTTTTTAGTTCTGGTCGTAATTTAAGAAATATTACGCGTTTGTTATTTCCGTAGCACGAGTTTGTCGCGGACTCGGTTCCTCTTTTTTTTTTTTACCAAAGCAATGCGTTTTAAACGGAGGGTACAAGGTAGTCCCATAACTTGGCTTTAATGGTTTTCTCTCTCAGGCTGCCGGCTTGTTTTATTTACGATAAACGAGCGTGAGTAATCTACCGTTCACTCAGCTGACACTGGTATATTTTTGAAACGAGTAACCTTTCGGACAGGATTGATTTCATCATGTTTCCGGTCGCAAATGAGAAACAACGCTTGAGTGTGGCGCTCATAACAAGGCGATTCTTGTAACATCCGTTTACAGGATGTTTCTGTTATTATACACTTCCATTGGAAGTTAATTAAACTTAGGCAGACGAATGTGCTATATATGCTGCTCAATGTTAGTTGTAATCATTCCTGAAAAACTCTCAGCTAGAGGCGAAAAGCATCGAAAGAAATAAACAAAAAGTTACCATTTCCGGACCGTAGAAGAAGAGTTTCGTTCACGAAACCAGATGACGACCTCCCATAATACGTGACAATACTTTGCGTTTAGTCACGCTCACTTCTGAACCGATGGGCCTGAGGTCACAGTGATATACAGCCCACGTCGTAGAGCGCAGGATTCTCGTAGCGGACAAAATCTAAAGACAAATACTGTTTCGGCCTGAATTAAAAAACATTTCTTTAAGTATAGGCCTCGATAATGGTTAAGAGGAAAAATTGTGGGAAAATATATATTTTTACAGCTATCTGAAATAACGTGCAAATTATCCGTGGCTCTGAATACAGACATTCGATTCGTCGCGTTTCGATTATTCAACCTTCGTTAATTTATTTCTCACCTCGTATTTCGTAGTCTCTAAATGGTGACCTATATCAGAATCGAACAAATCTTATTTTTTTTCCGCTCGTAAATTTCTGCAGCAGCTGAACAGCCGGGACGAATTTGTTACTTTCAACTTTTCACTGCTTTACACACGTGTGACGTATCACATCACGTGACCTGAATCGAGCCGTTTTCAAAATGGCCGTCGATTAAGCGTCAAAAAAATTTTGTAGAAAATTTGATTTTGCACCGTATTTCATTAATTTGCTCGTTTTGGATTTTTTAACCTAAGAGGAATGTACTGGGACAAAAAAAGAGGAGAAAATTTGGCGTCAGTTACCCTTGAAGGTATTGATTTGTAATTTTTTACCCGCAGGAAAAGTTTTGTTGAAATCAATCGGTCGAATTGCCATGTTTTATTCCAACAACAGCATATTTTTCCTCGCTGGAAGTGTCATTACCGCTAGTCGATGTTGTTTTCATTAATAAACTTATATTGTTGCTTCATTATATACCACCATATGCATGTCATGTCTCTTCTATTAAATCTCATTTTAGCTTTAAAGTAGTCCCATTGAAGGCTCCATGGGGCTCTACTGTTGAAATATTCCGTAATAAATTACAGACGTGCCAAATTCAGAATTCAAGATTTCCATAAGGATCTTCGTTTTTGTAGTGTGTCTCATGAACATAATCTTTGTCCACAAAGGTAATACCAACCTCTTTTGAACTTGCTTTAGTAATGTGTCTTCGTTTTCGTGATGGGTCTTCGTTTTCGTAGGAGGGTCTTCGTTTTCGTAAGGGGGTCTTAGGTCTTCGTTTTCGGGGTCTTCGTTTTCGTAACTACTCACGAACTCTCTAGCTTGAAAGCTAGCCAAATGTGCAAAGTTCATACTAGTTCTCACGAGATAACAAATGAGCCATATGTGAGTTCAAATTTCGAAAATACTGGCAAAACTGTGACAGCCGATTTAACAACAAACTATGATGCTGAGACGAACACCTCACTTGCTGAAAAAAATCAGGAATGTTCGTGAACACAACTTCGATGGTGGCGCCAACAACAGCGAATTGGATAAGGATACTGACAGAAGCAACTTGAATAGTAAGATTGAATATCTAAGCTTTAAGCTCTTCCGTTAAATATACTGTTTCTGTTATTGGTTTTTATTGGGTTCAGTACTTGTGAAGTACGATTTTGTATTTCTTACACAATCATTATTATTATGGTACAAGCGATCGTGAATACTCTTGATGACTGCAATCTACTAGAAAAAGTTGTCAATAGGACTATTGTACATATTAAACATAATGTTATAGTGTCAATAAAAGTACAACAATTCAGATCTCGTTATACAAAGTTTGTATATTATAATCGCACTCGTGTTGGGTGCGAATGCCAATATGGCTATAAAAGTGATCGTGAACTAAGCAGAATACAAGTTAGGATGTTAGAACGTCTCTCTCAGAAAATTAGAAAACTGCAGAGTTATGTACGGAGCCGTTTAAGTAAAAACGTACCAAAGTCATCGAAAGTCCATGATCTTATTAAAAATAATGCAACATGAAAAAAAAGTACATATAAAACAAAAATCAGGTTTGTACAAAAAATGAGAAGGAAACCAATTTTTAGAACAAGAAACGTTAAATCTTCGATGAGATATGTCTACAATTCAATTGCTGTGAGTATTAGTTACTGTGCTGATAATGGCCATTTTAAAGTGTTTGACTCACATGCTAAAGATGTTTATGGTAAAAGTCACACTCGAGGGACATGTGGTCTATTAGATATATCATCTACAGACAACTTAGTGCATCACTTTCAAAGTTTATATGGAGCAACTGATCTGTATGAACTAAAAGTTTTACAAATTACAAAATATGATGTGGCAATAAGCAACAATGTAAAAGAAGTATTAAAGAGATATCAGGTCAACACAAGTGTTACAAAGATCACTGTTTTGCAGTAGTTCTTTATTCTACCTTACTCAATCGTTTCACCTTGTAGTTACTGGAACTCAAATACTTTAGATGCAATTATTGAAAATGGATCTCAGCTTAACAATACAATGCAGAGTAAGTACTGCTTAACATCTGTTACCCTGCCTGACAGTGTTACAATTTTTGGCACTAACATAAATTTACACGTTAATGAAGTAAGTCTCATATAATTAAGTAATTTAACTGAAAACAGAATATCTTTAGAGACCTTGATTTTAAGGAACCACACTGGGAAAACAAGCTTTTTAATGTGGATTTCAAGTTACTGTATAGCTTGTATTTAATATCAAAAAAATACAAAAGTAAAGCAATTGTTTTCTCTTCTGACATATGAAGACAGTCATTCACCTACAATGAAACAGACAATACACATTCGTGGTGTGGATAATCAAGTAGAGGAAATTAATAATATTATTCAAAATAAACAGGAATGTCAGACTATGGAATATGATATACAATTTATTTGCTCTTCATGTGAAATTACTGAAATTGAAAGGAAATGCGTTAAAAACACAGAAAAAAAACCTATGTATGACAGCATGGAACCTGTTGCCAATAAGTGTATTCAGTATTGTTTTCTGTATTGCCAGTTATTCAATCTGTTCTAGCCCAGTTGCTTGGCAAAGCAGTGGTCCTAACAATAATCATTGGAGATTTTATCTTAACTTGAGCATCTCATGAACAAAATAATGGAGAAACATGTTTCATATATTTGTACAAGGCCATACAGATCGATGAGTGGGATAACATCATGATTATTAATAACTGAAAAAAAATAAACAAGTTTCTGGCTGAAACGAATTTTGGCAGTTGTGTTAATGTGTATGTACTGATGTCTTCAATGTTAATTGTTTTGCAAATAAAGCAAGCTTAAGTATCAAACTTAAACAAAGTATTCTTTTGGTAGAGAGGCCTGTGGTTCTGGACAGAGGTTTTCTGTAAGTATTTACTCTTTGTGGATAATCTAGTGGCGGAAATTAATAATATTATGCAAATAAACAGGAATGTCAGACTATGGAATATGATATACAATTTATCTTCTTTTCATGTAAAATTACTGAAATTGAAAGGAAACACATCATGAGAAAACACAGAAAAAGACATATGTATTACAGCATGGAACCTGTTACCGAAAAAAGGTTTCTAGAAGACATCAAAAGAAAATATTCAACTATGGATGCTAAAAAGAAGAAAGAATTACCTTCCCAACCCAGTGAGAAATTAGTGAAAGCCAGATCGGTTGAATTGTGTATTGACCAGTTTAAGAGGAAAATAAGAGAAGGCCCTTATTTTATAGGTACTGTCTGTAATCGAATACTTTATAAGAAATCAGTAATAACATGCATAAACAAGAAATACCCTTGCCAAACATATTTCAATATTCAACAGTCGTTTGATGGAAAACAGTATATACGCAACACATGTCATTCAAAGGTCATAAAAGGAAAATTACCATGTCAGGCTGCAGTGAACAATATGTATGAGGATGAAATACCCACAAAAGTATCCTCGTTAGAAAAAACTAGAACAAATATGAATAGCTCAACGAATAGTACTTGAGAAGATTGTGGTCATGCATAAAGGAAAACAGAGAAAAATTAAGGGTGCAATATGCAATGTACCTGTAGAATGTGATCAGACATGTAATCAACTTCCTCATCCATCTGATAGATCTTGTATAATAATACTTAAGCTTAAGAGAAAGTTACAATCTAGGGGACATGTTTATTTTCAAGCATCATGACCAGGGTTAATATAACAAGTTCTTAACTGGCTCAAAGTACATAATCCATTGTTACAAGATATACTAGTTGATATTAACAATATTGATAGCAACCTCACAACTTTATAAAATGATGCAGACGATAATGATACACATCAACAAGCTACATCAAACAATGTAACAACAGATAGTGATCCTGCATTGGAGTATGATGCAAGAGAAATGATAAATTGAATAGTTGTGCCCTTAAAATAACAAGTCCTCCCGTCAAAGCAAGACTTTGCATCGATGGGCATGGTGTTGACGCAACTATTATAGTTTTTGACATTCAAGGGCACAAGTTGACAATTTTCATCACTGTTTTAATTTCATGCATACCAAGGTAACTCGGAAAACGTAGGTAAAAATTGATCTAAATAATCTGCATTACGCGCTTCATTAAGCTTTCTTGCAAGGAGATGAACAATTTCGGGACGACTGTCTTCTTAATTTCCTGAACGTTTAATTTTCTCGCAGCACTATTTCTAGTTATGAGACAATGTTCTTAGAGTGGGAAAACAAGAAACCTCATGGCCAGAAATGTCGATGCTCTAATACTAAACTATGATAAATAAATGCGTGAAGTTATAGGAGGTGCTGTCTAAACAACTTTTTCACTTGCCTATTTTACACATTCCCTTAGATTTAAACCTCAGATATGCGTCTGCAGATTTTGGAGCAGATTTTCACAGCGAGTAATTTATTGGCGTAATATTTAGATGTTCCCTTGCCGAGTTTAACGCCATGAGTTCTCTCCAGGAATAACGCATAGGAATTATGATGCAATGACTCGATAGAGAGATAAATAGATAGTTTATTGATAGCCGCTTTGCGACCAGAAAATGATTTATACGATTATTACAAAAAGGTCATTATAAAGGACTACCAGTAGTTTAAAACAAGTTAGTATAAACATATATTTAACTGTGTTATGCTAGTAAATTAAATATGTCGAAGAAACATAAAGTCAAATAAAATCGATCAGTCCTTAAGGGCATTAAAAGTAACACGGCAAGACCGTTACGAAATCTGTTCGTCTTGAAGATGGGCCTAGACTTCCGTAAGTTTCTTAGGATCAAGGTACATGTGTTACGAGCAGAAAAAGGTCACGGAGCTTGTTCTTTTTAAGCTTAATAACTTTCTTAAATAATTTGTCAGCTAATCCCTATTTAGACTGGCATTGAAGACGAGCCTAAACTTCCATATGTTTCTTAGGATCAAGGTTAGTGTGTTACGAGCAGAAGAAAGGCCATAGAGCTTGTTCTTTTCGCTCTGTATAACTTCCTTGAATAGTTTATTAACTAGTCCCTAGTTAGACTGCCATTGTGGTTGACCCATGAATGGTAAACAGATATAAGTTAAATTTTGCCGTTCTCGAAAAAACCAGCTGTCTGGCAAGAGTAAAACTCTCACCACAAAAACCCATCGCAAGAACAGTCATCACATGGCTATTTCTGTCAGTGTCCGCACCCATAGTAGGAAATAAACAAGTCATAGTCAGTAACTAAAGCATATTGTTTCATCAACTGGTTCAGGTAATTACTCGAAACATTTCTAGAGTTTGAAGTCTCTACTTGAGTGGTGTCTATACAGATGCCTCAGCACAGTTTTCTAAGAGAGAACGCTGCGGGTTATCTCTCTGGGTTTTCAAGTCAATGAGCTCCCGCCAGGGAATACAGAACAGGAAGACTACTGAAATTATTGCTGTTGTTACTATCTGAACGATAGTACTTAGGTAACCCGAAAAAAAGATGGCTGCCGAAGGAATGACTGCGTCAACAACTATGAGCGATATGACAACACTGAGAACCAGTAATCCAACCAAAGCTTGCACCCATCGTAGCATCTTTGTTGTCTCAATCCTCAAGAGTGCACTTGCACCTACCTTAATGACGAACATAGAGAGATTGAATGAGCCGTAACTTACACCACTGGCCAATCCAAAATTGAAGACGATTTTGTAGCAGACGACCTGTATGGTTCCATTTTGAATCAAATTTTGAACGGCAGCACTGCTACAGTTTAGGGGGTCTTGCGGCTCCGAAGTCCATTTGCGTTCGAAGCAGTCTTTCGAGGGGTCATCTTCATCGCAGTCGTAGCTTACGTCCCGCCAGAGGAGCTGCCAAAAAATTGTCAGCACAGCACCAAACATCACATAAAACAGTATCAAAAATCTGAATAGGACCTTGGATAATAATCTCTTCGCCGCTGTCAAATCAATGTCTTTTAACAGCCACTTCGCCTCTCGAGGACAACAAGTCTTCTTCTTCTTCTCCTTGAATATATCGGAAAATGCATTTGTGGCAACCCAGCGACTGATACCACCCAGTGGAATTCTGTAAAACCGCATTATCACAAGGACAAAGATGGGAATGTAAGTAACCAAAAAAGGTGGCAAAACTAAAATTTTACCGTACTCGTCTGACTTCATTATTCTATCTTGAGCTGCAAAACTGATGAATTTGCATTCAGAGAATTCAAAAACTGTGATGAAGTGATAAAATATTCAGACCCTCGTTCTGAAAACGAGGTACTTAGGAGATGACCTTCTTACTCTTGGAGGAGACTGGTTTGGGGCGATAGTCATCGATTTTTTGCTATTCCCCAGAGATACGCTAAGGTACTGAGGAAGAAGACTCTTTCGGCCGGGCGTCTCAAGGAGTTTGGGGTGAAGTCCAATTCAGTACGTGTGCAAACCAAGTAATTAATGGATTCCTTGTTTTCAGGCTTAATTCTCAGGCTTTTTCTATTGTTATTCGTTTCAGTTAAGTCTCCCTTTATCACCTATCAAATGGCCTATATCGTTACTAAATCGGTTAGTTAGTTTTTTTTTTGTATGCTCGGAATCGGGCTTGATTATGTCCACATCCTCAATATAAGGTTATTTAACATAAGGGTATCGTCTGAGTTAAATACCTCGTAGCTTATTAATCGTTTTCCAGCCTTCCTTACGATCAATGTAATTGCCGATTATCAGTTGATACTTCCATGTTACGGTCGTTGTTGCAATGTTAGCGATAGTTCCTTCATTTCTATTATTTTATCTTCTACGGTGGCCCACAACTGTCACGGCAAAACAAAAAGTCACGGCAAAAGAAAGAAAACGACTTGGTCAGCGGTTGTTATTTCAATCTGAAATGGTATGTCGTGTAACAGTAACAGTAACACACTGCTCGCTCGAAAGACTGCCATTTTTCGAGCTAACGATGTCTTGCACCGCGTGTGGTTCGGTAGCAAATGAAGATGCAAACTTTTGTAAAAGCTGTGGTAGAGGTACGTTTCTTAATTTAAAGAGTTCGTATTTGCATTTCTTTTAGTTCCAAATAACGATGAGCGTGATAAGACACTGCTACAGATTAGCTGATTAGCATGTTTCTGGAATAAGATTGTGCATGTAGCCTGTGATGAAAACATTCATAATGTGGAAAAATGCTGTACGCCTGCAAACAGTCAGAGAGCACGAGGTCAAAGGCCAAAATATTCCTGATTATTTCCAAATCATTTATCTTGAGTTTTATTGATGTTAAACAGACTTAAGGAAATAACACTGTGAAAGTTAAGTTTCCTCTGAGGTGTAAGCTACATTATTTTGCTTCATTGTTTTTTTTTCCACCTGTTGAAACATTATGAACGTTTTCTTCTTACACATAGGCTGCATGCACAATCTTATTCCAGACACGTGCCAATCAGCTAATTTGTAGCAGTGTCTTCTCACGCCTATCGTCATTTGGAACTAAAAGAAATGCAGATACGAACACTTTTAATTAAGAAACGTACCCTTACCCCAGCTTTTACAATAGTTTGCATCTTCATCTACTACCAAACCATACGTGGAGCAAAACATCGTGAGCTCGAATCAAAGAGCTCTGTGAGCAAACTCGTGAATTGACAGATGACTTATATTAGTTTTTGGATTATGTTTTATGTTATCTGGTTTAGGGAATTTTGTGGTTGATTGTCATATTTAGAGGACGAGCAGCAGTTCAGTGTTGGCTAATGTAGCAAAGAAACAAAGTAATTTTGGGATAAGAAGGCATTACAATTGAAATAATCATGCTATTACCTTTGACAAGGGTGGATGATGTCATGTGTTTTAAACATATATCATTTTTGTTTCTGGTTCAAAAGAAAAGGTTGGAAGTAAATGTGGGTGAAAAGCGAAATTTACTGTCTATCATTGTAAATATTGGAAAATCAAAGTAATACTGTCTTAATGAAAACATTAATTATTCCCTCTATATCAAATGAGACAAACGGGAACGAGATTTGAGTGATATAACAAAGCCCAGACTGCCACCGTCATTTTGGATTTCCGCCTGGGTAGATTTGGTCACGCGCTAGGCAACGCATTATCGAGAACAAGATAGAATTTCATTTAAGGCCTATTTATCAATTTTGTGGTGTATAACTTTCGCATTTTAGTACGTAATATTTATTTTGAATCTTAAAATTGTCTGAAATTCACTGAAAATCGGTAGCCAAAATTGTTTGTTTAGGTGTTATTTGATTTTCGTGTTAACCTGTAATTTCGTTAGTTGCCGGCACCTTCTGTTGCTTCACACAGAAAAAACACACGATACGAAATGTAGTGATCGATTTTGTCCCCAATCTCACGCAGTAACAGAAAAAAGCTTTTGAAAACCTGTAAACTCTGAGCGCTTCGGAGTAAGTAATAATTTTAATGAATCTTCGGATTGTTTGCAAGGACTGTAAATTACAATTTTACGAAAAACGGTTGTTCTCTTATTTCATTGTGAATACTCGCACGCCTGCCAGTCGCTGGCGCCGCTTGTTGAAACTAAAACGAAAAAATATAAACTCTTTTAAGATTATCATCGGTTTCTTTTTCACCCCACCACTATTCTTAGCAATAAAGGTCGCCATTTGGTTTGTGTACTGTTACACGACATACCATTTCAGATGCAAATAACAACCGCTGATCAACCGCTGCAACTCGTTCTCTTCGTCTTGCCGTGAGTTAATTGTTTTGCCGTGAGTTAATTTAGTTTCGCCGTGAGTTAATTTTGTTTTGCCGTGAGTAAAGTTTGTTTTGCCGTGACTTTTTGTTTTGCCGTGACAGTTGTGGGCCACCGCAGTTGGGACTTTTGCACTCCAAGTCTTTACAAGGGATTTTCAATGGGGTTTGTGCTGGATGACCCAAAGCACTATCATCACCAAGCACAATGCAACTTCGTTTGCAGTGTACATTCCGCAGAAAGTGATTGCTTTAGACCTGAGTATCGAGTTACAGCCTCGACGCTAATTGCCCCCGCAGGGTTTTTGCCGAGGAGGCACCTTAGGACTCCCCGCGTAATATAGAGGAAGACTGGAGAAGAGAGAATGTGGGTATTTTCGGTTGATCATAACCAAAAAAAATCTCGATTTGATCGCTTGCACGGCCGCAAGGTATCAACGTTTTTCCCGCAAATGGTCATGGGCGGCCAGCAAAAAGACGCGCGCGAGGACTTTGTGGATCGGCGAGATTTCGAGTTAAGCGTCCCTGAAAAGCGACGAGAAGCGTTTCCAAGTCCAACGGTAAGTGTGTATAGCATCTTTCTAACAATTAAAGGTAGTTTTGAGTTTAAAAGGTGATCAAAATCCGTCAAAAGAGAAACAGTTGTGTGAAGTCTCGATCGAAGGCGGCGGAGGGTCCACAGCTCAGTCAGCTAACGTGAGAACAAAGAACTTGCAGCATAATTAAAGTATAACCAGATATCAAATACATGAAAAAGTTGAGCTTCTAACTCGTTTGCTTTGATGTTGGATTATTCTCAGAGTTCTAGAGTTTCTTCAGTCGGAGTCCACGCGGCCATCAAAGTGTGAAAAGCGGGTGAAAAGCGCGGAGAGTGCTGTTTTGTGCTTAAAAGCTCTCTTGACTCATTTGTGTTATACAGAAGTTAATACAGAAATAATTTCACCGATGCTCAGAAGACGGTGTAAGTTTAACATTTTGACCGAAAGACTCGTTTAACTCCGATTTGTCAGCCGCAAATCAAGCTTATTGCACAAAGCCGAAAGACTCGGCAATTTCTGGATTTGTCAGAGGCAAGTCTCAACTTCGAACAACTGAAAGTAAACAGTAGTCAAAGAAAGGAAATTACTGGTTGTAACTAGGGATTTGACTTTTGATTATTTTCAGAGTGATACTTACTACAATCGACGTGTTCAAGAGGTACGAAAACGCTGTTTGATCATTACGTGGGTGAGTGTCACATGTTTCCTCAGTTGGAACAAAGAAACGTTCAGTTATGTGGAAACGAAAAAGCCACTTTATGAATTCAGTTTTAAGTACCCCTGGAACTTATTCTTGTGCGTTGCATAGTGTCCTTGAGATATCATCCCATCTATTTTTACCCTATTTGTCAACACTAACTGCGCGAAATGAATTCACAGAACTCCTGTGCAAGATACATTGAGTCACAAGCAAATGACAGATAGTTGAGAGAACTAAGGGAACCGCTTTGGGTATATTTACAACAACATTGCCCCTCGTTTTTGTCAAGAGATTGTAATGCGTGCTTCAGTCAGATTTTCGAGGAACGAACCTTTGGTGATCTTTCTTCAGAGGAAATGAATATATTTTCATCTCAGAGAATCTTTGAGTCATTTTGTAAGACCTGCCATGACAATGTAGCTCTCAAAAGCTTTATTTTGGTTAACTATATGACAAGATCTGCATTACAAAAATGTCAATTGGATCACAATTCTTGGCCACATTTTATCTCTGCTATTCAAACTGAACCAGGAAAGTTGAATTGTCCTAATTGTAAAACCCCTACAGATGACCCAGTTTTAACCTATAGTTCACAGGCAAAATTTGTCTTTATTGAATTCTCTCCAGAACTTATGGATTTGATAAATTTGTGTGAAAATATGCATGTAGGCTCGAGTGAATATAAGTTAAAGGGGATGGTGTGTTACAATGGACATTTTACCTGCGCAGTTCTTACTCAAGGGAACTGGACCCACCTTGATGATCTTTGTGCAGGTGTTAAAGAATTTTGTAGTTTAGCTACCCTGAAAAGAAACTTTGCTAAAGGATGGTTCTTTGTAATTTAAGAAAGCATGAGCATGTTTAACATAGAAGCAGATCCTATGGCATACAGTAGTTAATGAATAGTAACAACATGACAGAGGAAGTTCAGTTAGGTGATTGTGAAATAAACCCATTAATCTCAAAGAGGGGACATTTTATGAATTCTATTCTAAGTGTCCCTAATATGTATTCCTGTGCAGTGGACACTTTTTTAGAAGTCTCATCCCATCTATTTTTACCCTATTTGTCTACACTGACTGTGCGAAATGAATTCACAGAACTCCTTTTCAACACATGTAAAAGATACATTGAGTCACAAGGAAATGATAAAATGTTGAGAGAAATAAGGAAACCAATTTGGGTATATTTACAGCAACATTGCCCCTCGTTTTTGGCAAGGGATTCTAATGCATGCTTCAGTCAGATTTTCGAGGAATGAACCTTTGGTGATCTTTCTTCAGAGGAAATGAATATATTTTCATCTCAGAGAATCTTTGAGTCATTTTGTAAGACCTGCCATGACAATGTAGCTCTCAAAAGCTCTATTTTGGTTAACTATGTGACGAGATCTGCATTACAAAAATGTCAATTAGATCACAATTCTTGGCCACAATTTATCTCTGCTATTCAAACTGAACCAGGAAAGTTGAATTGCCCTAATTGTGAAACCCCTACAGATGACCCAGTTTTAACCTATAGTTCACAGGCAAAATTTGTCTTTATTGAATTCTCTCCGGAACTTATGGATTTGATAAATTTGTGTGAAAATATGCATGTAGGTTTAATATAAAATAAACATTTATAATTTTTTTTTCAGGCTTTACTGGATATGTACAAAAAGTAGAGCAAAATCGAAAAAGCCAGCAAGGATTTACATATTACTTCGACATCATTCTGCAGACGGCAGTAGACTAAACGCAGATGATAAGAATAATGATAAGTTCGATGGATGACACCACGAAAAGCCAGCTTTTCAAAGTTCCAGTTACAATTCATCCACTTATCGTTTTTACAGTTTATAATAATAGAACGTTCTATTCAACAAACCAATTTTTCAATGCCTTTCAAACAAATTCTATTTAAAATTGACCTCTTAAGGTATAATTTTGTGTCTAATAACTATATAATAATAAATTGTTCTTCAATGCTGTCTATAAATTGTTCTCCAATGCCACCTATAACATTCCAATGTTAAAACTCACCCAAGTCCCTACATTCTGCTTCTTCTTGATCGTGAAGAACAAAAAAATCCTAAATTAAACCACGGAGCAAAAAAAAAAACCCCAAGCACTTCCCAAAACTACATCTTGTACACTTTTAGTATTTTGAGATCCAAAATTACTAAAACCAAAGTACTGAGCCGCAATTCCGTAACAGCCTAACAGAAAAGTTACACAACTGTAAACAACAAGCCCAACTCAAAAAAAAAAAAACAGAAGGAAATGATACTGTAGGGCGGGGGCAGCTCTAGTGAGAACTATAACTAGTTATACCCTTAAAATGACGGAAAGCGTACTCCCACATCCGTCAGAAGGAGGTCATCTCGGGTAGATTTCCGATTACGAAATCCGAGCTCGCCCGATGTTGTCTTCGTGATGAAGGCCCTATTTAGCATATTAAACCCGCAAAACAGAGTAGAAACGAACACGTGCTTCGTTTTCGCTCATGACTTCGTATCAGCCGTAAGATATTTGCTTTTTTTTTTTCGTTGCTTACCTTTATTACAGACTTCACAAAATTTCTGCGATACCTCCTTTTCACGGATGTCCGATTACAACTACAACATAGTAACACTCCACGAAATCAGTCAAAACTGAAAAAAACTGATTCTCAGAACTTCCCGTCAATTGTTTATTAAGATAATCTTCGAAGTGAAATATATCTATGTAGTAATTTTTATCTATGTAGAAGTCAGCTAAAAGAATTTTTAAAATGTATTCATGAGAAACTGTTTCTTGTAGATCTTTCCCCAAGTACGCTCTTGCGTTTAGAATTGAAATCCTCATCTAAATATTATGAAAAATATTATCGTAGAATATTTCCAATGATGATCATGGCACAACGCAGATAGAGAAAATGTTATAGGTGAGACAAGTCACGGATTATCCTTGTCGACAAAAGTAATATCGCCTGCTACATTATATTCAAACTTAGTCTCCGTCCAATCGAGGTAATGTACAATTTTTTAATCAATTACCATATTAAAAATAACAATGTATCGCTTAAACTCTGAACGTAACTGCGTTAAATTTATTTCATCAGAAATCCAGAAGATTTCCGGTGTTTTAAAATCCTGCTTTTGACAGATTTCGTGAAGATGTCATTACGTTGTAGTTGTGATCGGCCATCCGTGAAAAGGAGGCGTCAAATGTATTTTGTGGAATCTGTCATATAGGTTAGCAACGGAAAAAAATGCAAATATCTTAACGCTAGTTCAAAGTCATGAGCGGAAACGAAGTAAGTGTTCCTTTCTACTCTATTTTGCGGCTCTAAAATGCGAAATAGGGCCTTCATGACAACATCGGGCGAGCTCGGATTTCGTCATCAGAAATCTACCCGAGATGACCTCCTTCTGACGGATGTCGGAGTACGCTTTCCTAAAATGACACGTCCTCACTGCAAAGCAAGACTTTGCATCGATGTGCATGGTGTTGACGCAACAATTATAATTTTTGACATTCAGGGGCACAAGTTGACAATTTTCATCACTGTTCTAATTTAATGCATACCTGGTTAACTCGGAAAACGAAGGTCAAAATAATCTGCATTACGTGCTTAAATAAGCTTTCTTACAAGGAGATAAACAATTTCGGGAAAATTGTCTTCTTAATTTCCTAAACGTTTAATTTTCTCGCAGCACTATTTCTAGCTGTGAGACAAAAATGGTTCTTAGAGTGGGAAAACAAGAAACCTCATGGCCTCATGCTCTAATACTAAACTGTGATAAATAAATGCGTGAAGTTATAGGAGGCGCTGTCTGAACAACTGTTTCATATGCCCATTTCTCACATTCCCTTAGATTTAAACATCAGATAAGCGTCTGCAGATTTTGAAGCAGATTTTCACAGCGAGTAATTTACTGGCGTAATATTTAGATGTTTCCTCGCCGAGTTCATCGCCATGAGTTTTTTCCAAGGAATAACGCATAGGAATTATGATGCAATGACTCGATAGAGAGATAGATAGATAGTTTATTGATAGCCGCTTTGCTACCAAAAGTTGAGTTATACGATTATCACAAAAAGATTCTTAAAAAGGACTACCAATAGTTTAAAACAAGTTTATATCAACATATATATGTAAAATATGTTATGCTGGTAAATGAAATGTGTCGAAGAAATATAAAAGTCTAATAAATCGATAAGGCCTTAAGGGCATTAAAAGTAATAAGCCTGTTACGAAGTCTGTTCGTCTTGAAGGCGAACCTAAACTTCCATATATTTATTAGGATCAGGGTACATGTGTAACGAGCAGAAACAAGGTCATGGAGCTTGTTCTGTTCGCGCTGTATAACTTTCTTAAACAGTTTTTCAGCTAATCCCTATTTAGACTGCCTTTGAAGACGAGCTTAAACTTCCATATGTTTCTTAGGATCAAGGTACATGTGTTACGAGCAGAAGAAAGGTCATGGAGCTTGTTGTGTTCGCTCTGTATAACTTCCTTGAATAGTTTATCAACTATTCCCTAGTTAGACTGCCATTGTGGTTGATTCATGAATGGTAAATAGATATGAGTTTAATTTTGCCGTTCTCGTTTAACATTAGCTGTCTGGCAAGGGTACTACTCTCACCACAAAAACCCACCGCTAGAACAGTCTTCACAAGGCTATTTGTTGTCAGTCACTAAAGCATTGTTTCATCAATTGGTTCAGGTAATTACTCGAAACTTTTCTAGAATTTCAAGTCTCTACTTAAGTGGTGTCTATACAGATGTCTAAGCACAGTTTCCTATGACAGTATCTTACGGGTTCTCTCTCTGGGTTTTCAAGTCAATGAGTTCCCGCCAGGGAATAAAGAATAGGAAGTAAAAAGCAGTGATTGTTGTTGTTAGCAGCTGAACGATAGCAACTTTTTGATCTCTCAACAAGATGGCTACCGAAGGAATGGCTGTGTCAACAACTATAAGCGATATGTTAATACCGAGAACCAGTAATCCACAAAAAACTTGCACGCATCGTAGCATCTTTGTTGTCTCAATCCTCAAGAGTGCACTTGCACTTACCTTAATGGCGAACATAGAGAGCTTGAAGGAGCCGTAACTTGCACCACTGGCCAATCCAAAATTGAAGACGATTTTGTTGCAGACGACCTGTATGGTTCCATTTTGAATCAAGGTTTGAACGGCAGCACTGCTACAGTTTAGGGGGTCTTGCGGCTCCGAAGTCCATTTGCGTTCGAAGCAGTCTTTCGAGAGGTCATCTTCATCGCAGTCGTAACTTACATCCAGCACAAAGAGCAGCCAAAAAACTGTCAGCACAATGCCAAACATCAAAGAAAACAGCATCAAAAATCTGGTTAGGACCTTGGATAATAATTCATCCTCTGCTGTTAGATCAATGTCTTTAAACAGCCACCTCGCTTCTCGAGGACAACAAGTCTTCTTCTTCTTCTCCTTGAATATATCGGAAAATGCATTTGTGGCAACCCAGAGACTGATTTGATCAAATCTTCTTCTGTAAAACACCTTCATCACCAAAAAGACGAGGATGGGAATGTAAGTAACGAGAGGAGGTGGCACAAGCAAAATTTTACCGTACACGTCTGACTTCATTATTTTATCCTGAGCTGCAAAACTGATTAATTTACATTCAGAGAATTTGAAAATTGTGAAGAAATGATCAAATATTCATGACCCTCGTTTTGAAACGAGTTACCTCGGAGATGACCTACTTACTCCTGGGCGAGACTGGTTAGTGAATGAGGCATTGTGGTGAAGCAGATGCTGACGGAAGTCGTATTCCGTAGACGGAAGTCGGATTGTGGACCGTGAACGGAAGTAGTCGCGCATTCTACCCCTCCCCCGCTTAGTGAAAGTCAAAATTAATTTCGATGAAGCTTAGAAACTCACGTGGAAAGAAATGAAATGTTTCTTTGGTTTAATGCAAAATAATAACCTCAACTCACATTTCCGAACTTCTAAAGATGCAACTTGAATCGAGAAGCCGAAATGTTCACACTTAGGGGACCCGTAGCGGGTTCATTTCAACACATGGTGTGACCACGCGGAAGAGCATCAGAGGCAGCCATATTGGTAAGCCGCGCATTTGAGTTCCTCTTCAGTTGGTACAAAGTAATCATTGCTATATCATTGTGCTTTTTCTCGGGAGCTCTTCAACATACAGTCCATACAGCAATCATACCGGCCGAGATAGTCTCACTTAATTTTTTTTTTTTGAGCTCTAATATTTCGCTCCGGACTTGAGGGACCTTGAGGCTCGCTCGGACAAAAGCAGTAATACCAATCCGGTCAGTACCAAATGCAGACTGTAGACTGCAGTTATACTATGGTGGCCGAGGGCTGTCACCCAAAATTTTACAGTTTTTTTCAGATTGAATAAAAAATAAAAGAAAAAATAAATCAAAACTGAAAGGAAAATGGAACGTTACTGCAAAACAAAGGAAAAAGAACGATTGAAAGTAAAAAGAACAGAAATCAAATTTAAAAGCAAAAGTAATTGCATTATCAAAGTAAAAATCATTTCAAAATGAAACTGAAATCCAAGGGCCATTCACGTCGAAATAATGAAATAAATTCAACATCAAATCAAAACAAAAGTCAAAGTGAATATCGCTATGGCCGAGGGCTGCCACCACCATGACACTGTTCGGGCGTGATTGTGTGTCCCATCATGTGTTGTGTCTAGTTACCCAAGTTGTGGAGTTGTTTTGGTCTTGAGCGATTTTAGAGGAGTTTTTCAGTATTTCGATGTCAGATTTCAGAGAAGCCTTGTGGAAAAATAATGCCGGCCTTAAAGAGGCTTCGCTGAAATATATCGGGCAAGGATTACAAAGACGAGAGGTGTTAGATTTCCTCACTCGTGACTTTCCACTTTACGCGTGGAGTCTAAGAGCGCTTGATAGAAGGCTTCGTCACTTTGACATATTTTTCAATGATGGTGCTGGTTAAGTAGATCATGTAATGAGGGCAGTTAAAACTGAGTTAAACGGGCCTGGAAAACAACTTCACAACTTGAGTTGAAGGACGCAACGCGTGATGGGACGTACAATCATGCCCGCACAGTAATTTCAGCACTTGTCTTGCAGGAAATCAGCCACTATGATTTTATCTTAGATTCGCAGCTGGGGTCGATGCATGTGTTGTAAATTTACTTATGGATTAAATTAAATTTTTTTAAGCCAGTTTGATTTTTTTTCTTATATCCATAATTTATGACACTGGTAATTGAAACAATAGAAAATATATGAGTCAAATTATTTGGAAAATTTTAAATCGTAAATAAATTTACGGTTTATGTGGCATGAGCCACAAGTGAGTGCATTCAGTTGCTTCCCATAATACATCTAGGGATACCATATTCTGTTCAGTTTAGAACAGAGCATGAACTTGAAACTCTCTTTTATTATCCAGACTTCACAGAAGATGCAGACAGTAATGCATTTCAGATATCCACATGTAGTAAAATGACAGGTTTGTGTTTCATTTGTATGTTTTGATTCCAAATTATGTCATAGTTTTGCATTTCTTTCCATCTCCTATTGTTATCTGTCTGCCTAACTACCTATTTGTATCTATCTAAAGGAGAAATGAAGGAGATCTTATTGGATGCTCAAGAGCTCATGGCCACGTGGCAGCAAGGTTATCCTCCCAAGAAACAGTGTTGAATTTTGTCTAGAAGAGAAGCACGCATGCGATTGATCAGTGCACTGTAATTTCGTGAATGGTAATAACCATCACACGCCGATTTTTAGGTAGAAAGTCGAAGTTCTCAAAATTATGCGACATTCTAACCAAAAGTAATTCGCCTGAACGATAACTAATAATCGTACGTATTATCGATGATTTTGCAGTGACCTACCAAATTAGTTATGTTCGGTTTTTATCATAAGGAAAATAGCTTTTCACCTACTAATATGGCAGAACTTCAAGCACTGAAAGTGAAATATCCACCACCCTTGTTTCAAATAATTAAAAAAAAAATCAATAGAGATTAGCTTTATATTATAAATACGCACCAATCATGGCCACCATGCTTCAGTCACTTTAGTCGTCCCAAATTGCAACTTTAGAATCTAGCTCTTTTCGTCTTAGCAGCTAGTGTCACCGAATTATGAAAAATATTTATTTCAGAGGAAATTAAGATTTAAGGATTACCTTAAATCTGGCCTCGATATCATGTTGATTTTTTTTCTACTCCTCAGAGATACGCCGAGGTACTAGGGACGAAGACTGTTTCGGCCGAGCGTCTCACGGAGTTTTGGGGCAAGGAGACAGCTGACATCTCAGAATACGGAAAGACTGGCTCAGTGATGAATGCAATCCTTACTTTCAAGCCAGTGAATGGCAATAGCTACCTTTCATAGATTTCAACGAAGACTGGTCCGTCGTCGGAACTTGGAACGTACGAAACGGTTGGTCAGTATTTTCAGAACAGCATCTGCAAATGTAATAAGTTCAGCGGTTGTGGACAGCCGAAGAAGCTTTACGGGTGACGACAATGGTTGAAGCTTGGAAAATCTGTTCTTACGGCGTTGGAACAACGGTTAAGAACACTAAATGATTTAGAACAGAATAGAAAGGTTGAAGAATTTGGTTGGTAAAATTTGGAAAGGATTGTTTGATTGAGTTGGTAAAATTTGAAACGGATTGGTGGATTGGATCGGCAAAAATTAGAAAGGACTGAAAGGTTTGGCGGAATGTACTTTTGCAATGATGTGTGGCAAGATGAATATGTGTATCAAGGGAATTTATGGTTGACTCAATGGTACTGTAACAATGTTGAAAGGTTGACGGAGCTGAATTGGAACGGAATGGAATGGATAAGGGATCATATTCAATGGTTGGCAGGGGCCTCAAAGGAAAGTGCTTTATGGTTCGCAGAGAACATGGATTGGATCAAAAAGATTGGCCGAGTAGGCGTGGAGGAAAGCGAAACCGTTAGCGGACTGTTCATGGAAGCCAGTAACAGGAACTGTAAACCACTTGAACCTGCGCTTGAATACGTTTCAGAGACGGAGGAAGTTGTCAACAAGTTTTCACAAAGAATATGTACACGGTGAGTAGAAAGCCTATAGAAGAAATATCCCTGGGAACTCTGTAAACACGCCTGGAAAAATTCTTGTATAATCCGCGAGAAATAACCAACTCAAGCAACATGTCTGGGAAAGTCCCGAAATGAAAAGACTCTACTGGGTTAAAAATTGAAAGACTTCATATTTGATTTATTTTATGTGTGATATAAACTATTTTGAACAGAATTTTTCAAATCGTAAGCAGACCACACGATGTGTTCTTGTTTAATAATTGTTGACTTAAGACGAACAAAATTTATAAGGGTTATGTTATCTAAATTACGTCTCGGTCTGAATATCTCAATAAAGTTAAATTAAATATTAATCGTCTAATTTGTGGAATTTTTTCGTCTTCATGGGCCGCCGGTTTGAAACATCTTTGTACGAATAAAAATCATGAAAGCAGCTTTCTCAATATGATCGGTGCCAAACTCAGCGACCAAAGGAATTCGAAGCATGCAGGCCGATTCAGAGCAGCAACTTCTTGCGGCAGCCCACCGTGGTTCAAAACCAAGCCGAGCGCTGATTGGTAGATTTGAAACGGTTTGCATGCTTTGCACTGGAAATTTTAAACTGTAATCGTAGTTATTAACTTATTATATGTTAAGCCGCTAGCTATTTAATTCTGAATGAAAATAAAAAATGCAGGAGTCTCCCTGGCTGTTTATTGCGTTAGTCCTGAAGAATCTAAGTCACGTAATTGTTGTATTTTGATACCTGAGCCGTCGAACCTCCAACCTTTAGAATCTCTGTCAAAATACACTTAAAACCCTTTACAAATTTAGATCAAAAGTTGACGGCGATAAAAATTCAAGATGAGGGCGACGGAACCATACTTCGGGGCGACGGAAGTTGAGGCGACCGTGTAAGCCTATTATCTTGGTTGGAGATAAATCGCTTACACAGTCGAGTTGATGGGCAGCCTTGAGCACAGTGTCCTTCGCTCCAGAGAAGTTAGTGACACAACTAACTTTCTTTGTTTCCTTCCACCACTCTGGCGGGAAACTCTCCTTCAGGTGTTGCACTCTGCGCTCAAAGAGGTTTGATCGACTTTTCTTGCGTACATGAATCCAAGAGCGAAACAGAAAGGACTGACTTTTGGCTGAGACTTGGTTTTCTATTCCTTGCATTTAGGTTTAAAAATAAGACTTCGGGCCTACAAAGGTGACGGAACATTGAAGAAAGGGCTGTTGTCTTAATGTCTATAGTCAACAAAATATGTTCTCTGAGACGTTATTGCAGCGCGTCTTTAAGTCTGATTGACTCGATTAGAAGAAAAACTGCGCATTCATTAAAGCAACAAGTGCTTCAGTCTGGTTGAACCAAAATTATCACGATACAAATGTTTTCCTTTTTTCCACTAACCCAGGCAAAGTGCGTCATTCAACCAAACTGGCCATGCAGTTTGTGGAAGGAATCACGGCGTAAACGGCCTCAAGGGTATATTTCGATATGTTTGGCCCATGTGATGACCACAAATATGAACCAACGAGAAATTGTCTAGAACACCTCTTGTAAGAATGTTATTTTATTCAGAACACTAAATCTTCAACAACACCTCTGTATTTAGGACGTATTTTTCCAGAAAGTTCTGGCACCAAAATTACTTCAAATTCTACTCCTTCTGCATTTACACTTTGCATGTTGGCTTCTTCATTTTCCTTGTTTAATGGTTAATGATAATAGTCAAAGAAACTTTCACATACCCATGACTGGGTATTTCCCTGTAATCCAGAATAGCAGGGTCTTCTTCAGCCACACTTTTTAATGTTTCTTTCTTTTTTCCTTTTCATCGTTTCTTCTTTCCTTTGGACCTCTCCCTGTGGAAAGTAATTTTTATAATTCTTTGAGCCTTATTTTTGTCTGAGAATCTGTCTTTGATCTCGAATTATCTGCAGCTTGAAAAAGCATACGAACTCTGAGGTTCTTGCATTTTTTGTTTTACGCCACCGTCAATAATGGTGGTAATTGCTATGAAGGAAATGTATATCCTTCTGTATGGAATGATTCTCGTTGTTTTGTTTGCTTCATACTATCTAAATTAATTAATGCAGTAGTTTCCCTTCCCCTTGGTTGAATCGCACTTACCTGCGGGATCTTCTTGAGCCAAACTTGGTCTTGTTGATTTGATATGATCTGAACTCAAACCTTCCACGAAAACCGATTCCATGTGTTTCTCTGCTAAGAGAAGCTCTTCCCAAGTAAGGCGGAGCACCTTTATCTCCTTAGCAACTAATTTGTTGTCCTCACACCTCTCCTGGACTTCTGCAGTTTCCATTTCTTTCATTTCGGTATCTTGAGAAACTTTCTCGACATGATTCTCAACAGAGTGAATTTGTTCGCTAGTTTGTCGAATCTGTGTCTTTTCATATTCTGCATCGACCTGATCCGACCACTGGAGATTTCTCGCCATCTCAAACACAATAATATCGATCCTCCAGAGGAATCTCCCTTGAGACAATATCAGCCCAAGATTCTCCTTAGGTGACGTCCAGCCACTGGTCATGTTCAAAGGCTTCCTAATTTACTTCTTTAGTTCTATTCTTGTGATGTTCGCTTCTTGAATGGCTGTTACCTTTACATGAATCTTAGGGGAGGTGATGTCTTCCCAAAAGTCTTCCTCTACATTCTCATCTTCTTTAGTAACCACAAACGATTTAACGTCCTCGGTAAGCTCGGCTTTAACCTCTTGCCCATCATTGCTCTCTTCCTCCAACTTGCTGTTCTTGGTTTCATCTGCGAAATGATACAAATCCAATTCTAACCCTAAATTTTCTTATGGTTTGCTGTCAAAATGATCCCACTGAGCCTGATTCATTGTAACTGAAATGACTCACCCTCTAGGAAAATTTATCTCTCAAGTAGAAATGATCTTTACATACCTTTGATACTTGTTTTCGTTTTCTTGGTCTCTTTAATTTCACCACTGAAAGGGAAAGAATTGTGAATTATTTTTCATTTACTTCAGCTCCGTTGCATTCCCTCCCCCCTCTCCTCCACCATTCCACGCTCTACTCCTTCCATTTCATCCTCCCATCCCCCTCTCCCCCCCTCTACTTGCAGAGTTAAAAATATAAATACTGGAACATCTTGTACTTTTCCACTGTATATATTTTTACCTCTACAAGGAAAAGAAGTCAATTGTTTTTCGTTCGCCTCGCCCCCTCCCCCCCTTCTCTCTCTCTCTTTCTCTCTCTTTATTTTCTCTCCCTTCCCTCTCCTTCCCTCTCAGTCCATCCCCTCCCCTCTCCTCCCCTCCGCTCTCGGCCTTCGTCTCTACCCCTCAAACAAATCTTCAAGACCCGCATCAATAACTTTACTGAGTGAAGTTTTGTATTTTGTTTCAATCTTTCTTCAAGTAACGCATGTGAATGTATTTCTTTTTTGAAACATTCGGAAAAGTAAACGAACGGCAAGGAAATCTTTCTTTCTTTCTGCCATAGTGAGCGGAAAGAAAGAAGAAGGAATGTCTAGTGCGCCAAATTGCACTTTTCCCACTTGTGTCTTTTTTTAGACAACTAGATTTGTTTCTAAGTCGGATTCTGTTTCATGTGCATCTTTTTGTTGGTAAAATACTAACCATTGTAGCTAATGTGAAATTTCAAATTACTTTTGTGAGACACGTTTCGGCGCGCGATCGGCCCGTTAAACAAGAGAAAATGTTTTAAACCTTTTTCCTGTCGTAACAACGTGACAATTTCCACAAGTTTTGAGCCTTACCTTTCTTCGTTATCACAAAATCCAAAATGTGCTGTAGCCTGTAAAGCTTCTATGAAGGCGCGCCAAAATGTTTCGAGAGGCATTTTGAGTTCTACTCCCTTACGGAAAAATGGATGTCCTCTGAAGAAACGTCACAATCAGACTTTTTTCCATAAGCGCACGATCGAACGACTATGCGCCAGTGATGACCATAAGTCGGAAATTACGGAAATTTTAGACTTGTGTGACTATGATTACATAGTTTAAGTCAAAAATATATTTTTGTTCTGTGTCTTTTTCACATAGGGTCAACAACCTGAGTCTAAAGTTTGTAGCTCCACTCTTTTTGAAGCTTCTTGCTTTCTCTCCCGGCCCCCAGCTAGTGCGCTACTATTTCGGTGGAAACTACCAGATTAAGTGAAATCCATGGTAACAGATAAAAACAAAAGGAAAAATGCGAGCTGAAAAAAGTTCCAAATATTCTTACGATCATGATTTGATGAAATTTGATAAAACAATTATTCCGTTCGCGCTTGTTGGATACAAGATTGGTTATTGCCAACTCAGCACTATGCGCTTCGTTGGCTATTTACCATCTCACATCAAACGCGCGCTCAAGGAATAATTGTTAAATATACCTTATGGAGATACAACACTTGTTTTAGGAATGAACTAAAAGAAGTCAATAAGGTTTTTCTCATAAAGACGATTTTCTATTGATGGCTCGCAGAAAGACACAATGAAAGAGGGGGATAAAAATAAGAGACAAGAAATTAGTACTTTCTTCTCTGATGGCTTTGTAATTGTTATGCGGATGCAGAGTAGTGGGTCAGTAGAATACGGTAGTTATGTCCTCTCCAAAACCATCCTCCTTTACTGTTCTGCAATATTCTCGCTAATCCTTTCATTTACTGAATGCATGAAAACACGCTTGAAAACAACGCTTGAAACAAGCGTGCACTGCTGGCACAGCTGGCTTCTTCATTGCAAGAAGAAAAAAAAATAAAAAAGGGGAAAAACCCTTTCCAGGTTAACTGTCCTTAGCAAACTGAAAAACATTATTTTGAAGCGATGTCAGCTCTGTCACGTGCATTCAATTCATTGACCAATCTAAGGTCTGATATCGCGCTTCATTTCTCCAACTGAAGGCCTGGAACAGGCCGCTCTTCTTGAAACACAATGGGCGTGGCACGCGCTCTGTTCCTCGTTTTCCTATTTGACGGCCAAGAAAGAAAAACTAATAACACGAAATGCTCAAATTCGATCGGTTTTGTTGTAATTTTAATGAAAACCATGCTCAAAACTCGATATAATTATAAACAGTAGCACAGAATATCAGCTACAGATGCATACTATATATTTCGTGATTGACATCTCATGCCCCACCTTTGAAGATTATAAAATATCATAAAATCTTACTTTAAATTACCTACAGTGGAAATGATTTCATTCACTCGATTGCAAACATTGTGATTACATCAAGTTAGACAAGTCATTCTATATATTACTGTGCACGTTTTAACTTGTCACCCAATCATCTGTATTTCTCTGTAAACGATATTTAAAGGTTCCCACTTCGAACAAGATTATCCAACTAAGATTGGCGGATTGTTTTAACCCTTTAACTTCCAGAAGTGATTAAAATAGTACTTCTCCCTACAATATCCATACAATATCCGGCAAAACGCGTTATGAGAATACTTAAACTTTACGGATACAAGTTGTTACTTTGAACTAACATAAAATTCCTCGTAACTTAAGTACCAGGAAATGTGTAGCAACTGGTGGGGAGAGTTAACAATCAGATCTTGGGAGTTAAAGGGTTAAATCTTACACACAACATCTTTACCTACACTGTATATAACTTCAACCATAGAAATTTTGTGTGGCATAACTAATAAAGAGAAATCAACCTTACAATGTACCTCAAAAGACTTTAGTGCAAGATACTCTGTCTGAAATTTCTTACCCTGTAACAATTGATTTATTGAAAAATTTGAAGGAGAAACCATCCACAACAATTCAATTATTAGCAACTTGTATTGTATAAATGATACAAAAGTCCTTATATAACTGTATTACACTGTTTAATATTGTTACCTCATTGATCCGTTTCTATAAAATGCAGAATCAAATTCAATTACTCCATCTTGCTAAAATTTTGGTAAATAAAAAACCAAAAATCGTTGACTGGACAACTGATTAAAAATAACCTGCATGATCTTATACGATCATATCTAAAACTATTTTATTAAAATACATTTACATAATATTATATCATTTCAACTACTATGAAATTAAGCAAGAGCTGCCTGATTTAAAATATATTATTATGCTCAAGAAAGATTAAAGCACAGTATCAAGAACCTTAACCTCAATGGAACTTGTCTATGCTTGCTGTTGCTGTTGTTTTTTCTCTGAAAAGTGTTGGTAGACAAAATGGACATAAGTGATCAGACTTTTGGGTTCAGGGACATCAACAGCCATAACGTCTTCCAACTCCAACAAAGGTTCAATGTCCTCCTCACTGATAAGAGCAAACAAAAAATTTTTCAGTCTCACTAGCCATGTAGCTCGATCATAATAGCTGGAGCTACCACAGAGAGAATGTAATATGAATACTTCATTTCATCTAGTTTCCCTTGCACTGAAGAAGTACCCCATACAATGTTTACCCTGATATATGACACGTTTTTTTATGAAGGAGAAATCAAAATAAGAACTTAAGATACTGGATTAGTGATAACAAACTATCAAATTACCAGCCCTCCATGGTAATGAACCAATAGAAAAACAAGATTTCTACATTCCCCTGCGGAGAATTGTTACCCCATATGGAGTAAGATTCAAAGCTTTACCAATTGACAACATTTACAAACTTGCCCAGAGGGGCACTGTCAGAGCAAAGTGTTTTAGTTGCCCAATATTAAAGCAACCTGGCTCAAGGTGTTCAAATTTGACCTCTATATCCCAAGTCTGGTGGACTAGATGTTAATTATTTCCCATCATGATAACAATCATGTTTAAAAGTTACTGTACTATTATTTTATCACCCTGTACAAGCTTTAACCCCTTAGAGTGACTAGCATCTAATTTCTCCTTACAATATCAATCCTGAATCACACACTAAGGTCATGAGAATAAAGGAAATGATCACCAACTAAAGAGGCTCTTGGTTGTTTTGCAAATTCTCCTTGTTAACACCTTGAGAAATGTATAGAGAACAGTATGGAGACAATGCATACTAATGATAGGGTGTAAAGGGTTAAGATAAATGACCAAAATGTGAAAGAAACTTACTATCTCACTTTGCTTCACATTGTGGGCCTCTGGGTTATTACAACATGAGCTGGATATGACTCTATGAATCCTAAGCTGGTAAAATACACAGAGACAAACTATTCATTTTGACTTAAAAACTTCACTCACTTTGCAACTCTAAAGGTCAGGGTCCAATTCCCCTTTTTGTCTTCAGGATTCAGAGTTTCATATGGAATCTTCTCGGGTAGGAAGTAATTCAACAGCTAGCAGGGCACACATATCCATGCCATTGGCCCAGCTGGTGGTAAAGTTCTGAATGTTGACTCCCTATAACGGCACACAAAAGTGACAATTTCAGGAACTATTGCAATGAGCTATTCCTCAGTAATTCTGCCTGCTGCCTGAAAGGGTACAAATTCATTTGTAAGCATGAATGAGTATGGTGCATGGGCGTTTAAAGTTATAGTGCTCAGCTGCATAGTATTAATTATTTCAACTGATTCTTGACAGAAAAATTTTGTATTCCTACCGCTCAGTTCAACCTCATGAAACTTAGTTCTGAAACAACACCATTCCTAAAGCTGGTTTACAGATGTGTTGCCACTAGTGAACTTCCTACCTCTTTCACTGCAATATATAGTAATATTGATATTAGAGGTGATATCAGCTAACAAGCCACACGATTCATTTTGTTCTAGCTTATCACAGAAATAACACGAGTTACATTTCAAAACCCGACTTTAAAGCTTTAGCAATAAGCTGCTGGTGTTTTAGACATGATTACTTTTGGCAATGCTGAATTTTGGTTCATTATAAGTTTGCAATCCTACAGCTCAGTCCAAATTAACCCTTGCAAATTGGATTTTGGAATTCCTAGGAACTTTTTACAAGGAATTCCAAGGAATAAGAGGTAATAGTTGGGAATTAGTGGGAATGAGAGGTAATAGTTGGAAATTCCCAGTCCAAATAATTTGGACTGGGAATTCCCAACTGTAACAATTCTGGTTCTAAAATCCTTGAAATTCCCAGAAATTCCAACTGGAGTTTCATTTCTTTTTCTTTTCTTGATAACTTCATACAAATTAATCTTCAATTACAGCTATTCATATAAAATAGTCCTAATCAATCATTAAATTTGGTTCGACACAAATTGTGAATAAAATCTGTTGATCCTTTTCCATGAAATACAATATCTTTAATTATATTCATTGCAATGAATACTATCTGTCTAAAAAAATAGTCTTAAAATGAATCATTTAATGT